ATTAAAGAAAAAGACCAACGCATTGTTTTTTTTTAACAGGAAACTTGTTTCCCAGAAATTTATTTACAACTTGAGTTTGTGAGCGGTCGCAATAAGTGCTATTATTTGTTACTTATTACACTATTTTTCCACAACATGATTTAAAAACAAAAAATAAAAAGAGTACCATGTACAAATTAGAAAAAGGTTGTCAATCCCTAAAAATTTCAATTTTTCAAAATATCCAGAAACGAAACTGTAGGTATGAACTACTTGAAAAATAATGAATATTTTTTTTCTGGATAAATCTTCCAAAAACGCAATTTGAGCGAGTAATAACGATTTTTAAAAAGACACGACACGACAAAAATAATCTATGGCTATGGCGTGCCATCAGCCCTAATTTATTTGTATTTGTTAATCAATAATATAATACGTTTATCAATAATAATAAACTACGAAAGGAACTTCGTTCCAATCGAGTTTTCCACGACACTCACAGAAGTTTTTTTATGTTTACTAGCAGCGGCATGTTCCTTTAAAGCAGATAGCCGGGATGCCAATTTGGATCTGATTATCTTTAGCTTTGAAGATCCACGATGAAAGTAAAGGACTTTACTCCGCTATATACGGCCTTTCATATTTTCGCTTCATCATCACCACCAATAATTACTATCGTCCACGCAACATCATTAACCAAATATCGCTAACAAGATATTGTCACCACGAAATCTAATGCGATAACAAACTAAAGTACGTCTCTTCTATGACTGATTGAAATATTAACCATTAACTCGTGTTTACAAATACCCGTTTTAAGATTATCAACTTTACACCCATACTTTTAAAGTTGTTTATTGAATGTGTAACAAACATAACACTAGAAGTACAGGGAAATCCCCCACATGCTGGCGAAGTGTTGCCATTTTCGGCATCTTAAGTTGTCATAATGAAATCAATTTTTAATACCCGAATACTGCCAAATACTGCCAGGTTGTATAAAACGTCAACCGATCATGCCAGATACTAAAATAAGAGGCCAATCCTGCCAAAATGGCAGGAACCTGCCACATATGGTCACACTGCACTAGAGATGATCGATGTTGCAGAAACATCGATGATGACATCGATGTTGGCATCGATAGCTTAACATCGATGTTCGATGTTTATCCTTCTCGAAACATCGATGTTGGCCATTATCGATGTTTTATGCAGATGTATTTAATAGGTTAGAACATAGATAAATAAATATGTTTTATTCCTTTCCAAATATTTTGAGACCGCGCAATCGAGCAAACAAAATCTACGGGTATCATTATTCATTTTATTAACGCAACCAAACAAATCTTTATTAGGTACCATTCTGGAGTTTATTTTTTTTTTTATTATATAGTATATTAAAAAGTCTCAGTACCTAATCCAGAACCATATATAACTGATTGTAACTGATTATTTTGACTATGTAAGTCATTGAGACAAACATGGATGCTAAGGAGACAAATATATTCGTTGTAGATTCGCTTTAAATGTTACTTACAATTTTTGTTTTTTTGGGAGTACCTATGTTATACATAATACCTTAGAAACAAAGGGTTAGTTAAGTTAGAGGGACTATTTGCTAGCTCCTTTCTACAGCATTAATGGAAACTAAAATAGTCGCCTGTAGTGGTCGAAATTAAATCGTAATTCATAAAATTTTTAGGTTTGCATTTTAAGCAAGCTGTATTCTACTTTTAACTTCACATTAAGTATATACCACAGATATCTACATACACACCACACACTATTGAAAATGAAACACTTGGTATCACACTATCATACTTTTCTTATAAAAAGCTAGATGAAATCAGTTCAGTTCAGTACGAACGACATCATACATGACAGACAGCCTATTAAAAATTAGAATCATAACAGATTAGGTACATTATTAGTATAAGTTATAATTATATATTAGTTTATAAGTTATAATTGTATTTATATGTACTTATATAAAATGAGCCTTTGTTACCCGAATTAAATAAATAAGTAAATAATCATTCTCATCATTACAGCCTGTCACAGTACCTCTGCAGTTCATAGGCCTCCTCCATGGAACGCCACAAAGTACCATACTGAGCTACCTGCATCCATCGACATTCTAATACGAAGTCTTATTACTTATTACGTACAGAAACTCAGAGCGCAGTCCTGTCTATGGCTCGCTGAGCGATCTTGAGCTTTCTCATACGGCCAGCAATGAAAAACCATGTCTGAGATCCAAACGTCATCACTGGCAACTGGCAACATGTACTGATTGTACACTCTCGTTTTATGAGTGACGACCCAAGATCAAGTCTATTCCGACACTATTCCGATGGTATCTCGGACGTCAGTCTGACTGAGGTTAGAATGATTCTCTAGCACATTAAAAACAGCAAGGCGACAGGCGAGGATAAAATTACAGCGCACATATTTTGTTTCAAATAGCTGTTCTAGTACCTACGTAAGTACATATTACTTCAATGATCGCAACATGTCAAATGTGTATCAATCAAGCAACAACAATGTAGAAAATTATAATTTTCTTCTATAATTTTTTCGTATTTCTCTACGTTAAACTTTGGACGACGCATTTGTCCAAGTTGCTCGTTTGCCACGCTCATTCTATAAAAAAGGCCACCCATCTGTTGATGTGTGTGTGCTGCTCAGGTTTTCTTGTTTGAATAATGGTTTAAAATGGATTTTGATATGTATAAGTACCTACTTAGTGCGATTTTGTGTAATATAATGATGAAATATTATTAAAAAGCAAAAAAAAAATTAGATTTTTTATCTACTAAAGTGCTTTGAGATACTGTTGTCACAATAATTTTGTTACCTGGGTTATTAATGGTTAAGCTTTATTAGTCAGTTTAACAATATTAATCTCACATAAATACAATGAGCTGATGAAAAAACGTGTATTTCAAATGCCATTACCAAGCGTTCGCACAGATTTTGCAAAACGATTTAGTCCATTCATTGAAACATTAATATTTAACAAAGTTATGAAGGCATGCGACATTAGATATTGCTCGACGAACACAGCTAGAATGAAAATATGATTGGTTACGCTTAGTTATGAACAAACAGAGAAGCTGCTCCAAACATTGTCATAGTAGCTATATGACCAATATTGATCTTGTTGTTATAGTAGTAATTCAAAATACTGTAATATTAACAAATTATATAATAGATATATATATATATATATATATGTATATGTATATGTATCTATTATATAATAGATACAATACATCTCAAAGCACTTTAGTAGATAAAAAATCTAATTTTTTTTTTGCTTTTTAATAATATTTCATCATTATATTACACAAAATCGCACTAAGTAGGTACTTATACATATCAAAATCCATTTTAAACCATTATTCAAACAAGAAAACCTGAGCAGCACACACACATCAACAGATGGGTGGCCTTTTTTATAGAATGAGCGTGGCAAACGAGCAACTTGGACAAATGCGTCGTCCAAAGTTTAACGTAGAGAAATACGAAAAAATTATAGAAGAAAATTATAATTTTCTACATTGTTGTTGCTTGATTGATACACATTTGACATGTTGCGATCATTGAAGTAATATGTACTTACGTAGGTACTAGAACAGCTATTTGAAACAAAATATGTGCGCTGTAATTTTATCCTCGCCTGTCGCCTTGCTGTTTTTAATGTGCTAGAGAATCATTCTAACCTCAGTCAGACTGACGTCCGAGATACCATCGGAATAGTGTCGGAATAGACTTGATCTTGGGTCGTCACTCATAAAACGAGAGTGTACAATCAGTACATGTTGCCAGTTGCCAGTGATGACGTTTGGATCTCAGACATGGTTTTTCATTGCTGGCCGTATGAGAAAGCTCAAGATCGCTCAGCGAGCCATAGACAGGACTGCGCTCTGAGTTTCTGTACGTAATAAGTAATAAGACTTCGTATTAGAATGTCGATGGATGCAGGTAGCTCAGTATGGTACTTTGTGGCGTTCCATGGAGGAGGCCTATGAACTGCAGAGGTACTGTGACAGGCTGTAATGATGAGAATGATTATTTACTTATTTATTTAATTCGGGTAACAAAGGCTCATTTTATATAAGTACATATAAATACAATTATAACTTATAAACTAATATATAATTATAACTTATACTAATAATGTACCTAATCTGTTATGATTCTAATTTTTAATAGGCTGTCTGTCATGTATGATGTCGTTCGTACTGAACTGAACTGATTTCATCTAGCTTTTTATAAGAAAAGTATGATAGTGTGATACCAAATGTTTCATTTTCAATAGTGTGTGGTGTGTATGTAGATATCTGTGGTATATACTTAATGTGAAGTTAAAAGTAGAATACAGCTTGCTTAAAATGCAAACCTAAAAATTTTATGAATTACGATTTAATTTCGACCACTACAGGCGACTATTTTAGTTTCCATTAATGCTGTAGAAAGGAGCTAGCAAATAGTCCCTCTAACTTAACTAACCCTTTGTTTCTAAGGTATTATGTATAACATAGGTACTCCCAAAAAAACAAAAATTGTAAGTAACATTTAAAGCGAATCTACAACGAATATATTTGTCTCCTTAGCTTCCATGTTTGTCTCAATGACTTACATAGTCAAAATAATCAGTTACAATCAGTTATATATGGTTCTGGATTAGGTACTGAGACTTTTTTCATAAATGTTTACACCACTACTTATTTTAAATTAAACACTGCACATAAAACTTTTGTAATATTTTATTTGTTGAAAACGTCACATTGCTTTTTCTACATATTTCTACATCATAAAACATTCTAAATTAAAAACTCTTTCCACTCGTGGTGGCAACTGTCGTTCGTCATAAAAATTAAACTTAATCGTCTAAACATGTAAATATATATATATATATGTACGTGTCTGTAATAAACTGTAGGTAGTCAATACACAATGAGGTGAACTGTGCAGTTTATCTCAATTGTGCTACATCAGCTATTGTTATATGCTTTCTACTTATCTTTATGCCTTTTAGTTGTATGTTTTCTCCATTGTTTAATTTTTTTGAAAAAGTGATTTTTAATTTTAACTAAGACTGCTATTGACACTTCACATGTGAATATGATGAAGCTCAACACTAGAAACAAAATGTAGCATTTGTAAATTCCTTCAACGTCTTCCCAACCCATTGGTCTTACCGGAGCCTCTTCCTTGATGTCATTGTATCTATATTGTTCCCATTTTGTAACTAAGCCTGCTTCAACGATTGCCAAAACATATTTGTTGTAAATCTCCGTGATTGCGGAGTTCTTTTGCAAAATCATGTTTAGATAATGGCTGTGAGCCCTGTCTTTAGCAACATGCAGGAACTGTTGTCCCTTCTCGTTCATTTTATTCCTTTCCAAATATTTTGAGACCGCGCAATCGAGCAAACAAAATCTACGGGTATCATTATTCATTTTATTAACGCAACCAAACAAATCTTTATTAGGTACCATTCTGGAGTTTATCGTACGAAAAACTTCTTTATCATCAGGCAGAATCACATCAGGGGATGCCATACCTTCAACTAAATAACCCTTTTGAACAATGTCATCATACGTATCCACTTCTTTGCCTCGCTTAGACGCAGAGAAAAACGATATTATGGCTGCTTGAGTAGAGAAATTTAAAACAAAAAAACACCATAATGATATAGACAAATAAATGCGGAATGAATTTCGTTTTGGCGGATTGTACAAGCCTATGGATAGAATCAATCTTACTGTATTAACGAAATCTTTACCAGCTTGATCGAAGCTAATACTGCCACGTTGTTCCATGTTAAATATAAAGAATACGAACCAAGAGCAAAGTAGGCATAACAAGAATTGAACTACTAAGTTTATATTATTAAGTAATAATTTTACATCGAAAAGTATAGTTTCAAAATCAGCTCGATGTGCTAAAAAGCACACGCCACTTTCTTTATACGGAAATGTGTAATCTACATGCACAATCACTAAATCAAATAGATAAACAGGAAATAGAAATAAATCAAATTTCCTATTTGAAAAATCAAAGTTCATTTGAATGTTTAGATCGTAATCGAAAGGTTTCTTAATTTTTCCTTCTGCAGGTGACAAATTAATTGTGAAATTCATAATCTCTGACATTGTATTCCAAATCATAGCGTCTCTTTTATGTAGTGTATAAGTTCCATCACTATGGTTTCTTATTTCTAAAAATGGTAATACTTCAACGCCGAACGCTCTAAGCGGATACCCGTGAAAATTCCTAACTTTATTCTCGAACAAATTGACATTCCGCAATACTGCAGTATCATTATAATAAAACGAAAAGGTGTCATATCCCAGACAGGTACCAAAAAAATTTGTCCGAATTTTAGAATAAATAGGTAATTTCTCGCAACCCTCTTCACAGCTGAAACCCGTTTCGAAATTATCAAATGGCATACCAATTTTTTTAGTCATTCTACATCCGTAGACGTATTTGAGTTGATAATGTTCGCTAATGTAAGGATTATAGTATGACACCAAAAACAAATCTTCAAGGTCATTGTACTGAATAATAATTGCATTGATTGCTTTATAATACCATAGGATATAAAACAGTTTTGCTGTCATTTTTTTGTCTTCGATCGTGTGATAATATAAGATAACATGTGAAAGAGGATGCCAATACGGTAAAGAGACAACTTTAGTCATGACATCTTCAAACTGCTCGAAGTTTAAACAATCGATGATTACTACATTTGAGTGATAGGGCACAGCATCTTCCACGTAGTAATCATCATCTACGTCGATGTTCGAAATAGAAAAAGTAAGGTTGAGATTTTTAACTTTCTTGTAGAAATTATCAGGTAAATGTCCAAAACAAAGAATGTTGTTCCACCCGTTTGTTTTTAAATTTTCTCCAACTATGTCGGCCTGTAAACGTTAATTTTAAAATAAATTGTTTATCAGCATATAAAAATTTCCTACGGAATATTTATAAGAGTTGTATTAGTTTGGAATACGCTTACAAGAGCCTTTGCTAAGCGTGAAGACTATGGCAAATATCACCTCTATAAGGGAATCTGTGGGGAAGGTCTATGTTCAGCAGTGTACTTTTGAAAGGCTGTAATGATGATGACGATAATTACTCAGTATAAAATAAAATATGGTTTAAAAAATTCAATAAATTTTTTCTCCGTGTGACCCGAGCAGATACGAAATAACCCTACCAAAATAAGCATAAATGTTATTTGAAGTTGGTTGACCGTTAGCTCGTTTGTCGCTTCTGTTTTATAAATATTGCGCTTTCTAAGGAACCTTGGGCTCTGTTTTGGTAATTTGAGGAAATCCTGTGAGGAGGTCCACACAGGTCATTAAAATATATGTAAAAGGTACTTACAATTATTTCTATTCTTTGATCTTCCTTATCTCGCAAAACCATCATGTTATCAAATGCAAGGGCCGAAAACATTATTAAATGCAAAACCATATATATCAGTGGCCAAGTCATAACGTCGGTGATGTCCTTTTTTTAATAACTGACGTCGATTATGTATGGTTAAGTTCCAGTAACCAAAATAAAGTCGAAAGTGGAGGTTGTCGAATTGCGGTCTGCGTATTTATATACTTAATAGGTACGTAATAATGTAAAAATACAATCTTGCTAATAGACACAAAATTGTCCCGACACTTTAGATAATGCTATGTGATATTGTATTCAATCACATCATGGTGTATTAATGAGGTACGCTATCTCATAAATTATTTCAAAAGGAAAGAAAATAATGGCATATTTTTTTCTAATTTCTATTATCACTAAGCCTCAAGTTGTTTTACAAATGGGTAGATAATTCTTAAACCAGAGCAAAAAATTTTAACGACATCCTTTCATATCGGAAAAAGTAGTGAAAGAAATCCTTACCCCTAACTTCTGTTTACATCTTCTGTAATGGGTAGAGCAAAGGAGTGGAATAATTTGCCGGCAGTGGCGTAGCTACCCAGGGGCTAGCCGGGGCAGTGCCCCGGGGCCCCCAAGCTAAAGGGGCCCCTCCGCCTCCAAGAACGACATTCGAAAAATTATGTACTATCCTAGTTGTATAAAGAATTTTCTAGTTTTAACTTTTGGCCCCTGACCGCGAACGGCTTGAACTGAAATCACCTACAGACTTACTTGTTAAAGATAATTGTCTACTTCGTTTTATTATCTTTTTATATAAAAGGAAGAGGGGGAAAAACGAGCATGCGGCTCAACTGATGGCAAGTTTCTACCACCGCCTACTAACAAATACAACACCAGGGGAATTGCAGGCATGTTGCCGGCTTTTTAAAAAGGAGTCAGCTCGTTTCTTGAAGGTCCCAAAGTCCTGACTAAGGCCCGACAGTAGTGCACCGCCAAACATCCCGATGATGTGGCTTTGTGCAATGCGTTTATGAAATTTTGTGGCTGGAATTAATTAATCTGGACAATTCCTCTGAGCACACCCCGTGGTAAATGCGATAGAAAATGCAAAGGGATGCAACATCTCTTTATCTCATCTTTCGGCTTCGTCGGTCGTTGACGGTTCGAGCCACTCTGCGATGGATGCGGTCAAATGGAAGGAGCTGGTACTAGGGAACCCCGGCCCAGGGATGAGAACAGTATTCCATGTGAGGCCGGACCTGCCCATTGTAAAGTTGCAAGCAATGTGCCGGCATAAAATACTGTCCCGCTCTGTTGAGCACACCAAGCTTTTTAGAGGCCAGTTCAGCCTTCCCTTCCAGGTGACCACGAAATTTCACGTTATGCGATATGTTAACGCCAAAGATTCCGATACTGGCTGAGGTAACCAGGGGGGTGCCCTGAAATTGAGGAGTTACGACAAAGGGGTTCTTTTTAGTGGTAAACGCGCAAACTTGTGTCTTCTGGGCATTGAATTTAATTATATTTAGTCGCCCCAATCCGAAATCTTATCCAGCAAAGACTCGATTTCAGACACATGCTTGTTCCGGTACTCGGCGACGTTTTCCTGAGAAATATAGGCACAGCCGGTGTATAAAGCATCACCAGTGCAAGTTACTGGTTTGCAACATATTATTGATAAGCAGAAGAAACAGCGTAGGTACGGTCCACGTAGTCTTGTGGAACACCAGCATAAATAGGCTTGTAAACAGAGCATGCACCTTCTACTACGATTTTGTTGCTCCAATCTGCAAGAAAACTGCAGATCCAGTTGCACAGATTCTCTGGTAGCCCTTAAGAAGGGAGCTTCGAAAGTAGCGCTTTGTGCCAAACCCGATAGAAGGCCTTCGCTATGTCATCCCGACGGAAATCGTACTGGGGTCACTTTTAAATAGGTGTTCCTCAACATCATAAGCTAGAAGTTCACAATGATTTTTTTAGAGATCTGGTGCACTAAAGCTTCTTCTTCTTTGAGTTCGGGACTACGCCTAGGGAGAAAGAGTTTTAGAAAAGACTAGTTACGACCGGTGCCAACTAGGGAGCACACGTCTTCAGCACAATGGGAGGAACTCTATCAGGCCTACTCAACTTTACGTCTAAGGAGAGTAGTGCTATGCACACCGAGCGCTGTGTAATCCGTGTTATGCCGACCTGAAGGCGAAATCATACTTATTTTTAACAGCGCTGGCGAAGCTTTTAACAGTGGTAGAGCTACGCGGCAACTTTTGCTGTCGCACGGATGGGCCGGCTCGAACCGGGGTGGTACCACGACCTCACAGAATACCAGCGTGAAGTAGAGGTTTACCTCTGTGTTTCGCTTGGTGAGTGCAGGTGGCCGGAGGCCCTCTTACTGGAAATGAGGCATTCCATCTTAGTCCTCACGGGTAGCAACGCATCTGCATTTTGATTCGCAAACGGGGATAGATGTAGATGTCTATGGGCCACAGCAACCACTTACCATCAGGTGGACTGTGTGCTTGTTTATCACATATAAAAAAAGAAGCACTCCTATTATAGCGCGATGCAATTTTACAGGAGCGATCAAACCAGGCACCACAGATGATATAATAAAGAGTTCCATTCCCTGAAGTACAATATCAGCGACATAATCACGTTGGGATGGCGAGGAGCATACCCGCCCTTGTCCTCAAGGGAAGGATGCCAAAAAAGACCGCTTCCTGTCCCAATCGGCGACCTATAGTGCCAAACACGATCTGCAGAACGTAGCCGCGATGGGAGTGTGAGTGGCACCATAGTCCGGAACGGACAATGGTTCAATGAGCCAAGAGGGGCATCCGTGGAGACCTGATATCCGTCCGGATGAGAGGTCAGCAAAAGGTCCAACAGGCAAGGTGCAAGATCCTCAACATCTAGAATTCGCGTAGGCGAAATAACCATTTGTGTCATAACCTATGCTATGCCAAGGCAAAGTCATAAACAGATCTTCCCGCATGATCGGTTAAACGAGAACCAATCTATTCAGCATGGTGGCCATGGTGGTTAAAATCACCAAGGATCACGATATCTGCAGATGGGGCCTGTTGTAGCACGGAGTCTGTTGCGATTTGGAAGTGGTAGATGAGTTGGTCTGTGTGGGCATTGCCTCGTATAGAGGCACCCGTGGACGCGAGAATGGTTGTCGCTGACCTTAAAGACTACCGAGGCGTCGAGAACAGATGTCCTCTCTGACATATACGCAAACTCCAGCCCGAGGCACAAAGGTGTTCTAATTTGTAACCCAGATAGGAGAGAGGTATCGGAGACTACACTTACGTCTCGGTTAGAAATCTCCCTCCCGAGGATACGCGAGGCAGCCTGAGCAACCGCGCTACGGAAGAGTTCGGTAGTTTGGGCGTGAGCGTGGGTCAGCCAGTGATTCTCCAATACCAGGGGTGCTGGTACCCTCCTGGGATGGTTTCTTATTTAATTACACTACCACGTTAAGGGGGAGAGGGGTTAGGCCTCCAACTTACCAGGCGATGTAAACTTCTATTTCACACTGGTTGTCTGTAAGGTCGTGGTACCTCCTTGGTTTTAGCCGGTCCACCCATTCATTACGTTCATTCATTACCGCTCTTCGTTTCATGTCTGGTCTACCCGTGCGACAGCAAAAGCTGCCGTGTAGCTCTTCCACTGCTATGTTGTCTGCCTATATTATTAACTGTAATCTACTTCGTCATTGTTTATGTGTTACACACAATATTTAGTAGTAAGTAGCTTTGCATTATAGCCTTGCAGTGGGCGACAAGGAGCTGATGATGTAGTAGTTTTGCACCTTTAAAGTATTTAGTTTAGTTTAAATAGGGCCCCAATTTCTTTTTTGCCCCGGGACCATTGGTTACATAGCTACGCTACTATTTGTCGGGGTGTCATCATTCCGTCCGAATACAATCTGGGCGTCTTCAAGGCAAGGGTGAATAGGCTTTTGGCTACGCTAAGACAGTGCGATTTACCATCTAAGGCTGCATCACCACTTTCCAGCAAGTGGGATTGTGGTCAAGCACTGGCTTATAATAAGTAAAAAAATGTAGGGACCGGCAATCAAAATCAAGTTTACGTAAATATTGCCCAGATTAAAAAAAAGTCACTTGTTATTAGAGGCTGGCCTACTACTGGTGAGCGCTAAGCAGATTCGCATATATTGTCTTGTGTTCGCGTTTGATGGGAATGTACGAGTAACTATGTAGTCAGTATTACAGGCTGGAAGACATCAAATCTCGGCAACGCTAAGCAAGGATTCGGCGTGGAAGGCCGAAGCCGCCTTCTGTAAATCTGTTATGGTCCAGAAGGAGGCCGGAGAACAGTGTTGGGAAAGGCGGATCTCGCTCGGAGACGACGTCGCCAAGTTATTCGTCACGATCCTCCCCTTGATGATGGTGTCCCCATACTAGAAACGGGGCCTCTTGGGTTACGCGCGCTCGGGACGGAGGCCTCAAACTCCCGGTAATGTAACCCCTGAGAAGGACAATGACTCGGAAGTGGTTCCGAGATACCGTGATAGCACTGCGAGGGTCCTAGGTGCAGTAAAGACTGCTTCCGGAACGTGCTTTAATAAAGCAAAGCGAAAGAGGGCCCCGAACGGAGATCCCGGGGCCTCTCATATACGATGGGGTGGGGTTTTATTTTAGCCAGTAGGAGTCCGGCATAACCTTTTTCCACCCCCGCAGGCGTAGGTATCCATGAGAATTTTCTCCGGATAAAAAAGGCATGTAATCTCAGCTAAGAACGCAAGTATATAGGCTTCAAATTTACCCGACAACAAAGATGCGCGAAATGTAGTTTATTTACGTGAAGCATACCAATTAGCTGAAAGAATTTTAATAAATGATAACAGCTCATATCGATTCGTCCAAGCTGTATGATGGTTCTAAGCTAGGTTTTTTGTAAAATCAAAATGGCGGCCGTAAAATGCAAAATTGCGGTAGGGACGAAAAAACTTACTTATGTACCATAATATTGTTAGTGTGTAACTAGTGTTGCCATGTACAAGACATTAATAGTGGCGCGCAACAATATTGAGTGACATATCACTAAACAAGGTCTTAAAATCATAATAAAATGTCCTAGACTATTTTACAGCCATAAGCTTCGTTTTAAGTTGCACAACCTGAAAGTTGTGTTGGTAGGATCTCTACATTTTCTTTGATATGAAATACATCTTAAACTAGTTACGTCACAACAATCAGGATTTTTGTTTTAATTATTTATTTGAAGTTAGTTACAGGGTCATGGGGTGGAAAGGTCACTAATAACGTAAACAGCGAGCTTTTGTCACTCCATTAATTCCTATCATGTAACATAGTAAGTACTCTTTGATCAAAATTTTTAATTCTTAAACCGTCCTGGCGACGCGACGCTCATCGAGAACGGAGACCTAAAAAACGCAATTGAAGTTTTCGAAATACAAGGAGCGTTGACCACTCACCAGACTTAACACTGTCCCACGGGAGATCTCCACTTTTCCTTCCAAGGCCAAAGTAGTCACCACCGTGATGTGACCACACAAATTACAATCTTCAAAAACTTCAACTTCAAGTTTTCATCATGTTCCTTAAGAACCCCTTTTATTCGCTCTAGTACAAATATTTGTCTGCAGTCTTCTCCTTACGAATAACGCTTCCTGCTCCTTCAAGCTACTCTCTGCGCTACAGCAATCGTCACGGCTCTCAGCCTTACTGCTTGCCTCTAATTGACGGCACTCTCGGAGATCACTTGCCTTCTTCGACTCACAGCAGACTACAAGGCAACTCCGGGGACTTCCGGCACCTTTGTCGACAATTGAACTGAACCATCGACCTACGGTCTGAGCAAAAGGGGGTGATGTGGTAGCGCTGCAACATTGTGCTACGGCTAAACACGGTATGGAAGCTTTTGAACTACTTTGGTATAGGTATATAGCTCCGACTTACACTCGGAACGTTGGCTACTCCCCGAGTTAAATACTGCCTGGCGGGAGATCTTCCCTTTTCCTCCTACGTCCAAGCCGTCCTTTGTATAACAGTTTATATTCAAGAGTGCAATTAACTTTAACGATCTGCTACAATGATAAGATGGAGAAATTCTATACGTGGTAGAGCCATGCTGCAGCTATATTAGTAATATAGTTGTAGCACGAATGGGTCGACTCGACCGGGGAAGTACCACGCTCTCACAGAATACCAGCGTAAAATGGCAACTTGACACTGCTGTTTCGTATGGTGGGTGTAGAGAACCAGAGACCTATTTTACTGGAAAAGAGGCATTCCATCTTAGTCCTCATGGATGACGACGCATCTGCATTTTTATTCTTTATTGAGGATAAATGTAAATGTCTATGGGTCACAGCAACTACTTACCATCAGGTGGGCTGGGTGCTCGTTTGTCACCCTATCCTATAAAAAAAATTATATGAAGCCGAATAGCTAGTATATCTATTCTTTGATTATTTTTGTGCTGTACAGTGACATTACAATTCACTATGCTTGAATATCCTATTTTCAAGCATTGTACAGTTCATATAATTATTTTTAGGAGAGCGTTGACCGAAGCTAACTATGACAAAAGTGGTAGACGTTTGAAAAATGAAATATTTGAATGTCAAAAATATTTATTTCAATACATAACACTTACACGATATTTGTAAACAATTCTAGGAAAAATTATAAAACAATTGATAAATCTTATTAAATATAGCTTAAGTAACCATACTTTGGTCATTACATTTGATTCATCTTCTTAAAACGCTGTATAAATTTTAATTATAAAATTATATTACACAAAACATTATTAAACGTAATAATTTCCCGTCGAACTCCATATTGCGCAGGACCGGACCTCATGTTAGATACTCAGTCGGGGCTAACGCGTTCCAGGCAAATGAATTTTATCTTATTTTTAACACTGTTTACGTAATTAGTTTTTATTAAATACTTGTTGAAACAGTTTTTGTTTTTTTAGTATATTTCATTGTAAGATAAAATAGTTGAAAAAGTTTTAATGTACTTTAAAAAAATATGTATATTACCTATCTAAGTATTTGATGAATTATAATGGCAAAACGTAGTTTCTACTTAGTTACATGAAATTATTAATTACTGACATCAGTACTTAATAATTTATATAATATATTATATAATAATCAGCACCTAATAATTTAAATTATTAAGTATTGACATCAGTACTTAAAGTAGTAGGTAGGTATAGTCAACCACGAAATAGTACGGAATGTGTACAAATCTATACATAAACTACTACTATGTATTTCTGTAGCGAAAAAAGAATAAAGTATTTACTTAACTACAGAAGTACCTAACTGCCCAATAATAGAACTTAGTTGAAATTTACTTCACTATCGAAGTACTTACTACCTTACTAAACCTACATACATACCTATACTAACTGTCTTGTATAATTAAAATATTTTAAGTTATAATAACACAAAATACTTTGTTTACAAGATTTTAAACTAAGTAGAATACGATCATATTTCCGTTAAGAATCTATTTCGGGTTTATTTGTTGTATACACTACCTATTCGCGACCAATGGCTTGCAAGTTGCATGCGTTGGGCGTCACAGAACTCGCATAGTAGCGACAATACGGTCAGTCGATTATAGTCAGAATAGGTATGTTACCTAATATATATGTTACTTACCATTTGTCAATGTATTTTTTTACTCTTTATTGTCAGCCATAAGTAACCGCGATCCGTTATGATTAATGACGTAGGAAGGGGAAAAGATGCAAAGTAATACGGACACTCGCGCGAAGCGATAGTTTTATTTAGTCTGGACAAGGCCACTAAGATTTTCACTCAACGCAATAATGGAGAAACAGAACTGTAATAAAGTAAAAAATTAAACTAAAAACACAAACAATGTGTATGGCATGCACGTTACGTTGTTTTTGGAACGAAAACATGCGTGCCCGACATTTTTCTTAGGTGTTGCCAATTTATAAACTTAATATTCTACTATAAACGACGAATTATTGTCTATTATTGTCGTTCATACTGCCTATGTCTCAAAGTACCATGAATGGTATTACTCTAAGGTGAGATACTTAATAGTCTGTGGTCAAACAGACGCATACAGTAGAGATTGTCGCCAAAGAATTTTAAATCATATTAAATTATTTGGCAACAATTAATTGCTCACAGATTGACCGAATGAGCTGTGAATTTTGTGTAATTTCAAATGTTCCTTTTTCAATAGTCTGAGAAGTGTATGTTAAGGCAAAAAGCGTTTATTTTATATTTTATGTATTAGATATCTGTGTTAAATATAAATATGCAGTTAAAAGCAAAATACGGCTTGCGTCATATATAGTAAGAGTTTATCTACGTTGTAGAACCCTTTACGAAGATATCCAGAAGAATAACTGACATAGGCCCGCAGATCATTAAACTATATAGTGCATACAAGATCACGTATATCCGAACCGATATATATTTATACATAACCATTACCAGAATCTTTATCTTATTCATAGTAAACTATGCAATATTTACTAAGTAAATATAAAATTTTTGTAATGAAACAAACCCATGAGTGTGTTGCGTTCCTCGACATGAATTTGAATCTTAGAACTGATCTGATTACAATATTGTCTTAAATAAATTCTTTAACATCATTTAGATGTGTCGTTGTAGAGATACTGTTGCAAATGATCCCAGGCCTTATCGATCTGTGACTGTGTGTACTCATAACTCCAATACGGACTGAACACAATGTTGGCTGCGGCCACTTGTTCAAGGTTTGATGGCTGCACTTCTACACGCTTTCTAGCTTCATCTTCCGATAGATTGTTACGTTCTTGAAGTCTCTTGACAGCCTGTCAAAAATGTATGATTTATATTTAAACCTTAGATATATTTATAATCTTTGGGCGACTGTCAGTAATTGTGTAACATCTGAACGACTTCACCAAAGGATTCTGTGCGTGTCGTCTTTACTCGCTCGAGCCGACTATTCGTGCTATGACCATAATATAATTATATAACTACAGCTTGGCTCTACCACATAATTTAATTAAGATTTCGAGGATGATATTTATAGGATCTAATCTAGCTACAGATGATAGGAAAATGAAAAAAATGGGCATAATCAAAGTAATAATGGTTCTTACCTCATTAGGTGGTATTATAACTGACCACAGCTGGTGACAGTATTTATACCACTTGGCCCTCACCATCACAGCCGCTTCCATCACCACAACTTTATAGCCCTCTTCACCTAATGCCTTAATTCGTCTTTGTGCCTCCTCTATTACAGCGGGCCATACTATTTGGTTCAATTTTTCTAATTGATCCTGAAAATTTAGAAACCCATATTCTGTACTGTTTATTATATATAAAATATCATATTATAAGTATAAACCGCCGTGTAGCGGCGGCGTAAGAACATCCATTATCGCATATCATACTGTGGGTGTAGTAAACATAAAACTAAGATAAAATAGAAGATGGGCAGTAGCATCATCCTGATAATAAATCTATCTTTTTTCGTTTTTGTTTAAAATGTTACCCCCACACTAGGATTTTTTCCTGTATCGTGGAGGCAGTTTACAAACATAAATTGCACAAGGACAAACATCCAGACCCGGAACAATTATTTGTAGGCCATACAAATACTTGTTCCGTGCGGGATTCGAACCTGCAGCCCCAAGCGCTGGAACTCATTGCTAAGCCACTGCGCCACGGAGCCGTCACTCTATTATAATATTAAAAAGCCGCAGTTGCCAGCCCGCCTACCAAGCGCGGCAACTATGGCAAATATCCCTCGTATGGGGCTATCTATGGGCGACGCCTATGTTCAGCAGTGGACTTTTGCTAGGCTTCAATGGTAACTGTAATAGATTAACACATGGAATTTTTTCCATGGGGAAATATGTTCTTGTGTGCTTATGTGCTATAATACGTTGCTTCGTACCAAATTTTAAGATTCTGAGTTCACGGGAAGTACCCTGTAGGTTTTGATTCCCTTGCGAATGTCGAAAATTTGCGGCATAAACGGCTGTATCTTTTGATTGCGTTGGCTTAGAAGTTTGATTTTTTCACAGCTCCAAGGGACAGTAGACTTTAGTATTTGATATAAATTTCAGCTTGATACCTCCACGCGTTCCTGAGAAAAAGGGTCTTGACAGATAGACAGACAGACAGACGGACAACAAAGTGATCCTATAACGGTTCCGTTTTTTTCCTTTTGAGGTACGGAACCCTAAAAACTGATATGCCAGTCCAAAAACTACCATAGTTGGCGGGTAATGACCAGTAATGACCGTGAACAGCGTGTGTGTGGGGAATTATCCCAAATTATGAAATTATAAGAGATTGATCTGGTAAAGGACTATATAATGCTAGAGCCGAAGATACAATAAGTAAGCAGGCAGTGACAGAAAAATGGTATAATGAATAGAACATACATAGGATGTTATAATTTAAAAAAATGATCTGAGGCGTATGCAATGTTTGCTAATAAAATACGTCAGTCGCCTTTGCGAAAAGATCGTATGGTCTATAGATATATAGTGTAAGACGTTTAATTGTTTTGAGAGTATTATATTGATGAGGAAAATGGTTAGCGGATCCAAAAGAACTTCTTCACCTTATCACTAAAGACGATCTGCCCCAATTTCCTTCTATCGACTTCGCCATTGTCCGTTATAATATGTCCGCCGAAAACTTCGGACAGAGTTTGGTTGAGCGGTAGTCCGGGCTTGTACAGTTCGTGTGCGATTATATCACAATTTACAATTGCTGCGCCTTTTGATCTGTAAGAATATTTGATAAATTTTGGGGTGTTACCATAAAAATCTACTTAGAGATATGTCAATCTACAGCAATTACTGAATTCAAACATTGGACTATAATGTACTTACGTACTAGAACAGCTCTTTCAAAAAATAAACGTGCGTCACTCTGTCATGCGATAAAAACAATATTTGAAAATTTTGATTGTATAATATATCAGTACTTACTTTAATTTCTCAGCTATATTACTCTTTCCGCTTGCAATTCCACCAGCTAATCCTATCACATATGGGCGACGGGGAATATTGGGATTTGGCTGTAAGAATATATATTTACTAAAAAAAAGTCAGAACGTAAGAAAATTGTATAAAAAACTGCTACAACCAATAACTATAGTCCTATTCACTTCTTAAAATCGAACATGGAATAACAAAGAATTTTTTTCTTTAATATGGAGTGCATTTTTATAATGCAAGACATAAAGAGAGAGAGAGAGAGAGATTTTTAAAGAGATTGAGAAAGAGAGAGAAAGATACTTCTTATATTAATGTTTTATAACATTTTACTTACCACGGGTTCCCGCAGCACAGTTCCAAGCAATCTCATTCTTTGATTACTGGAGCTGATCTTACTTTCTTCTTCTGCTGATCGTTGGGGAGTGACATCTGCTGCCAATCCTATTACATACACATCAAGTGGTCGCAATCCGTTCTTTTCGCGTTCCTCATTAATCTTTATTGCTCCTCGCTTTGTTTCTTCACTTACTATTATTAACTAAAATTTTAATTATTATGCGAAATATTTCTTCCTTATATTAAAACAGAAATATATATGGCAATAATTACAGTCCAATTAAAATAGATGTGATATATAATAAATAGATATGGCTTAAGGATGATTCACGCTACAACGTGTCGCCACCGGGCCGTGCCCGGCCGGGACACGTCCACCGTGCGCTGGCCGGGCCAGTCATTCATGTTACACCGGGCTGTTTGCACGACCGTGGCTTATGCACGACTCTGTGTTATGTGGTTTTTGTCAGCTAGTGATTTCATCTGTCGATAGACTTCACGCTTACATAAATATGCAATTTTCACAATTTGAATTGGCAGCTATTGCAATTGCCATCGATGATGAAGTATTGGAAAAACGAAGCGAAACTACTAAAAGAAGATGGGGTGTACATCCAACCTGGAGAAAGCGAGAAGCAGAAGGAGAATTTGCTTTACTTTACAAAGAATTAATAGATGATGAGAGCAAGTTTTATGGTTATTTTAGAATGTCTAAAGAATGCTTTACTTTTTTACTTGAAAAAGTAAAACCAGACCTAACCAAAAAAATTACAAGATTTCAAAAGCCTATATCTCCCATCGAACGATTAGCAGTCTGCATCAGGTAAATAATAAATTGATATGCACTAAATCACATAGTATTTAAAAATGTAGTATTACAAATTGACCCGTCTCACAGCCATCTATCAGAGCTGGTTGTAAGAGTTTTTCTAAATACTTCATTTTCAATTTTTCAATAATCAAAATTGCATTGTGAATGAAAAAAAGTAAAAATTTAAATAATTCGCATAGTATTTATTCATTTCATTAGTCTGCCGTGAACTCTGAAAATAAAGTAGACAAATTATTAGATTCCAAAGGCGTAAGTTCCGAAGGCGAAGGTTCCGAAGGCGTAGGTTCCGTAGGCGTTGATTCCGGTGTTGGCGTTGGTGTAGTCATCGGAACCGGTGCATACACCGACCTTGAATTAGTAGACGACGCTGACGTTGTTCCACTCATTGGAGATGTGTAAGAAGAAGGCTCTGATGACAATTGCTCCCACTCCAAATCTTGTACTACTGCAAATATTCTTCCTTTTGCAAAATGCTGATAGTAAGGGGAAAAAGATTTTATGGTGGCTGCCAAACCGTTGAAGAAAGCATCAATAGGATGAATGTCTTGTGTGTTGGACTTTTCTTTATTTTTTAGAATGTATTCCATTAATGCGCTTGACGCAGAGGACTGGGATTGTGGCACTATACGACGGCGATTGTGTGCAGTTGCAACGGTTGCATTGCGATTGCGGTTGCCGGAACGAGTGAATTGTGCAGTTGACGGGGGATATGGATTCGGATCAGCAGGTGGCGTAAAATTTGGTTCACTAATAGCTGGTGAGCGATCTTCCTGCTGCTGCTGTTCATCGGTGTTAATTGTTTCGTTGGGCGTAGTAACCGTTTCGTTTTGCGTCTCTTCGTTCTCAGACTCGATACTTGTTATTGTATTTCGATCCTGTATATGAGGCAGTAAAAAATTCAAGCTCTCTTCATATTTATATTTTTTTATTGCCACAGCACCCTGTCCACTCTTGGTTTTACGTTTGTTTCTATGTTTTTTGAACTGGTCCCGTATGTTTGCCCACCTTTTTTTACATACATCATCTGCAAAAAGATAGTATAGAATGAACAAGTTAAGTAATTTTCTTTACAACCTGTATAAATGGTACTGTTAATACGTAATAGCTCACTGTGGTACACAGATACCGCGAAATTATACCATCATTATTTTTTCAGGTTCCTGGCTACTGGGGATTCGTTTAAAACTATTTCGTACAGTTTTCGATTGGGGCATTCAACTGTGACCGAAATTGTACATAGCACATGTCGATCTATCGTTAAAAGATTTAAGAAAGACGTTATACCAGAACCAACAGAAGAAATGTGACGTAAAATTGCCGAAGATTTTGAAAAGCTTAGAGGTTTTCCAAATTGTATAGGCTCATTGGATGGAAAACATTTTGTTATTGAAGCCCCAGCCAATAGTGGTTCTATATATTTTAATTATAAACACACATTCTCAATTGTTTTATTGGCGTTAGTGGACGCATGCTACAAATTTATTGCAGTTGATGTTGGCGCTTACGGACGAAACAGTGATGGTGGCATTTTTGCACAATGTAATCTTGGAAAACGTTTAGAAAATGGGACGCTTCATGTACCTATTGGTAAAAATTTACCCGGTTCCTCTACGTTTGCACCATATGTAATAGTTGGTGATGAAGCGTTTCCTTTGAAAACATACCTAATGCGACCGTATCCAGGACACCAAGCAACAGGTGACGCTAATAAAACGAATTTCAATCATAGACTGTCTTTGGCCCGGCGACTAGTCGAAAATGCCTTTGGTATTTTGACACAAAGATTTAGAATATTTCAAAGAAGAATGAAACTTGCTCCAGAAAATGTTGATTACATTATTCTATCTACATGCGTACTGCATAATTTTTTATGCGAACAAAAAGATTACACAGGGCTTATCAATCATAGTGCACAAAATGCGCAACCACATTTATTAAATCCATTGAGCGTTCAACCAGGAAGACCGGCTAATGATGCATTTGCGGTAAGAGAAACGTTTAAAGAATATTTAGCGTCAACAGCGGGACGTAATTTTATAGGACAACAGTATCAAGAATAAATACATACTTACACTATAATATACTTCTTATAATTTACCTAACATATTCTAAAATACCTACTAAAAACCGATAATCCCACTCACATGTACTTACATGTTGTCGTAAAGTAATTAGTGACACTTGAATAACTATTATAAATGTAAATTGAAATAAAAGTTACAACTTACCAGATTGTTTTATTTCGTCCGAAATGGTTTTCCAAATAATATTTTTGTATTTGTTATCTAAATACTTAGGATAGCTTATATCGTAAATCACAGGGTACTTGCGCACACATTCTAATAATTTTTCATCGTCCATTTTGCTGTTGAGCTGCTCACTTCACTAAGATTTGACGTTGACTGCTCTCCGGGCGCCCGGGCGCATATGTTCATGTTACAACGTGTCGGGGCCGGACCGTGCCGGAGCCGGGAAACAATACCCACCGACATTTCAACGCCGTGCCCCGGCCGAGTCCCGGCGGCGTACGGCCGGGGCACGGCCGGGCCACGGTCAGGCATGAATCGCTTCATATAAAAAGTATACCATAATGTTTGACCGTGCCCCGGCCGGGGCACAGCCCGGCCGCGCCACGTTGTAGCGTGAATCATCCTTTATCGTCTCTTTCTCTCAAAACATTAAAACAATGTATCTTGATTCGTGAGCACTTGTATCCATCGACTTGCATATTTTTTTTATAGAATAAGGGTGACAAACAAGCACATAGTCCACCTGATGCTAAGTGGCTGCTGTGGCCCATAGACATCTACATCTATCTTCATTTCCGAATTAAAATGCAGATGTGTTGTCAGCCGTGAGGACTAAGACAGAATGCCTCTATTCCAGTAGAAAGGGTCTCTGGTTCTCTACACTCACCATCCGAAGCACAGCAGTGTTAAGCTGCTATTTTACGCTGGTATTTGGTGAAAGCGTGGTACTTCTCCGATCGAGCCGACCAATTCGTGCTACAACCGCAGATTTAGCAAGGATGGTAGATATGATAACGATATAGGACGACGAGTGAACGCATGAAATTGAGTAAATAGGACTCTACACACTATTGTGAAAAGTCAGAATGTGTTCAAAAAGGCTCATATGGGAAGTCACGATGTTGTCGTCTTATATCCATACTTTAATGTATAGTACTGAAAGTTGGGTACGGCAGAAGAAAGACGAGAGTAGAATAAATGCTGTAGAAATGTGGTCATTAAGGACTATGTTAGGGCTGAATCTGAATGACAGGGTGAGAAATTGTGTGTGAAAAGAGAATAGTGGTTCGCAAGATGACGTTGTGACCAGGATTAAGAAAGGAATGCTTCGGTGGTTTGGTCATGTAGAAAGAGTGAATGAGGAAAGAGTGAGAAAGCAAATTTATGTTGCAGAAGTGAAGAGTAGAGTAGGGAAGGGACGCCTTAGGCAAAAGTTTTTCGACCGAATTGGCGATATATTGAAAAAGGGCCGAGCATGTATGCATAGGTATATGAATGAGGAGGAGGCGAGAGAGGTGTGCCAAGATCGCGCCCAAAGGAAGTCTCTGTCTACACCTCTGGGTGACAGACCTGAGTTTTTATGTGTATATGCATGTATAATGGCACTATATCTGCAACGGTTATGTTAAAAATATTAGGTAATTATAAAATATTATTCAAAATAGGAGCAATTTCACTAACATAAATTATACACAGAAACTAAAATTTTAATTTTAAAGTTCTTACCTCATACCTAGGGTCTGATTTAGTTGGCCCATAAAGGTCTTGAATAGGCTCTACGTTATATTCCAGATCAGGATTTATATCTGTTAGAAAATCAAGAATACCCTTTATTCTCTTTTCTACTGGTTCTATTAACTCCCACAGCACCTTTGCTGAAATAGAAACGGAATAATATATACTATAATCTTTATATATAAAGATTACGTGTCACATTGTTTGTCCGCGATGAACTCCTAAACTACTGAACTGATTTCAATGAAATTTTGCACACTGTGCAGTCTGGTCCAACTTGAGAGATCAATCCTGATAAGTAACACTCAATATTTTTTTATTACGAATTTAAGGATTTTTTTATATGAAGGGTCGTCGAAAAGGGCAGAACAACGTCTGCCTGGCCAACTAGTACTAAAATAAAATATACTAATATAAAAATTAATTATATATACCATTTAAGTGGTTTTGTATTATGGAAAACTCATTTCCTTTTTTTAATATAGAATAGGTTGACAAATGACACACATTCCACCTGATGAAAAGTGAATGCTGTGGTACATGGACATCTATATATCGTCGTATCGTCAATTATGAATTAAAAATGCAGATACATTGTCAACCCTGAGGACTAAGACGGAATGCCTCATTTCCTATAAAAAGGGCCTACGGTTCTCTACATTCACCATACGAAACTATGCAACATTAAGTTGCTATTTACGCTATTATCTGTAACATATACGCTGGTATTCTGTGAGAGCATGGTCCCTCCTCGGTCAACCTGACCCATTCATGCTACAACCATAATATAGCTGCCGTATCACGTATGTTCACTCTAATTTCCAGCCTTAACAGCATAATTATTTTACACAGGCACACCACTCTTCCAATTATATATTTTTTTATATGTTACCAATACGAGGGCGGCACTGAAAATTTCGGGAATCAAGGAAGTGACACAACATTACTATTTAAAAATGTATTTATTGCTTTTAGAAGTATTCTCCGCGAAATTTGACACATTTTTCCATACGATTGAACCAATCATTGAAGCAACCATTCCATTCGGAAGTTGGGGTCTCCAAAATGGTCGTTTTGTAGGCGTCCACAGCTTCTTCAGATGATGAAAATCTCTGTCCACGCAATTTATTCTTTATTTTAGGGAAAGTATAGAAATCATTTGGGCTTAGGTCGGGGCTGTACGGCGGATGGTTTAATAATTCTATGTTTTCTTGCTCTAAAAACTCTTTTGTTCTGTGTGCGGTGTGAGAACACGCATTGTCGTGATGGAGGATGATGCGGCGGTTGCAGTTCTCTTTACGGAGTTCAGAAACGACCTGTGGCAAACAAATGCTAGCATACTATTCTGCATTAACCATTCTTTGTCCCTCAAGAGGAATAGTCGTAACATGGCCGGTTTTGTTGACAAACGTGGCTATCATTTTTTTTGCAACACTCCGTGAACGAACAATTTTTGTTGGCTTTAACTCATCTTCGAATACCCAAACTCGTGACTGGTTTTTTGTTTCAGGTTCGTACGCGTATATCCAGGATTCGTCACCTGATACGATGTTGTATACAGCATTTGAGGATCTTGCGTGGAATCTTTCGAGAGTTCTGACGCACCAAGAAACGCGAGCCGCTTTTTGCTCTTCACAGAGTGAATGCGGTATCCATCGGGAAAACAACTTTTTTACACCTAATTGTTCATGCAAGATTATTTGTATTTGACTCATGCTAATGTCTAAAGTTGCCTGAATTTCGCGGTATGTCACATGTCGATCTTCCTCAATCAGCTTACGCACAGCATCAACGTTTTCTTGGGTGACTGCAGTTTTTGGACGACCTTGACGGGGATCATCACTGAGCTTGACACGTCCACGTTGAAATTCAGCAAACCAGCGATAAATTATGGTTTTGGATGGGGCTTCATCACCAAATGCAGAAATCATCCGGTCAACACACTGTTTTTGTGTTAAACCACTTCGAAAGTCATAATAAATCATTGCTCTTGAATTTTCTCGAGTCAATTCCATTTTCTCAACGACTAAACAAGTTTGACAATCCCCAGAAGACACAAGTTTGCGCGTTTACCGCTAAAAAGAACCCCTTTGTCGTATCTCTTCAGTTTCAAGGCACTCCCCTTGCTGCCTCAGCTAGTATCAGAATCCTTGGCGTCGACATATCGAATAGTGTGCAGTTTCGTGGTCACTTGGAAGGGAAGGCCAAACTGGCCTCTAAAAAGCTTGGCGTGCTCAGCAGAGCGAGACAGTATTTCATGCCGGCACATCGCTTGCAACTTTACAAAGCGCAAGTTCGGCCCAACATGGAATACTGTTCTCATCTCTGGGCCGGGGCACCCCAGTGCCAGCTCCTTCCACTTGACCGCATCCAGCGCAGAGCGGTTCGAATCGTCGAAGACCGAGTTCTTTCTGATTGACTCGATACACTGGAACTGCGTAGAGATATTGCATCTCTGCGTATTTTATCGCATCTATCACGGAGAGTGCCCTGAGGAATTGTTCGGACTAATTCCAGCCGCTCAATTTCACCATCGCACATCGCGACAAATCTCGCGTTATCATCCATACCATCTGGATGATTGGCGGTCCACCACTGTGCGATTAAGAAGAAGTTTTCTCCCTCACACAACTTCCTTGTGGAATCAATTACCACCAGCGAATTTTCCGGACTGATACGACTTAGGGACCTTCAAGAAAAGAGCTTACACCTTTCTAAAAGGCCGGCAACGGATCTGCAATTCCCCTGGTGTTGCGGTTGTTCATGGGAGGCGGTAGTCACCATCACGGCACTGCGAAGAGATGTTGCATCTCTTTGCATTTTCTTTCGCATTTACCATGGGGAGTGCTCTGAGGAATTGTTCGGATTAATCCCAGCCGCCAAATTTCACGAACGCATATCGCGGCAGAACTCCCGATACCATCCACACCATCTGGATGATTGGCGGTCAACCACTGTGCGATTTAGAAGATGTTTTCTTCCTCGCACAACTTCCTTGTGGTATAGTTTACTACCAGCGATTTTTCCGGACCGATACGACTTAGGGACCTTCAAGAAAAGAGCTTACACCTTTCTAAAAGGCCGGCAACGCATCTGCAATTCCCCTGGTGTTGCGGTTGTTCATGGGCGGCGGTAGTCACTTACCAGCAGGTGAGCCGAATGCCCGTTTGCCCCATCCCCTATAAAAAAAAAAGCACGTATTTTGTATAGGGGCAGGAATATTGTGATTATTCAAGCCATGAAATCTCCCGAAGAAGATCAACAATCCTTTGATGTTGCGAGCAACTCCAGGTAGTGATTGTGGCATGGCAAGATGTTTAGCCCTGTATGCAGTAACTTCCGGACATGCCAGCAACACGTGGGCCGCCGTTTCTTCCTCCTCCATACTATTAAATATTTCCTTTTTGTCTTTCATTTTTTTATAGTTCTTAAGCACTCTAAGATTGATGTATGCATATTTAATTCACTTTTGTTTATTATGTTTTTGTTTTTAATGTGTTTATCAATTAAATGGTTCTTCCTTTCTTTTTTCATAATACACATAATGTAGATAAATGTAAAAAGTTATAGGCTGACTAATAATTCAGTTTTACATTTACATTTCTTACATTGAATCATATTAACATCAGTTACTCCCACTGTTAAGTGTTTGGTGGATCGTAAGGCTGCTTGTGATAGCAGAATCTTGTGTCCATTGTGCAGTCTGTCAAATGTGCCACCAACTGCTACATATTCATAGGTCTTTACTTTTTCAGCCTCTATTGTTTCCTCATCCTTTTGAGAATCTGTAAGAAATAAAATTAATGATCTTAATTTAAATACATTTTATATATTCATTCCTTGTAATTATCAAAATAGACTTTTGTCTAGCAAATAATACATGATAGGGAAATGTGATTTCTGGATACTATCAGGTCCAATTGTGAATTCAAACCATCCAGGGACCCATTCAAACACACAAAAGAAATCGTCAAAATCCGTCCAGCTGTTTAAGAGTCAAACACATGTACAGAAGAATTATATATGTATAAAAATTTGATTTATTCTATTAACAAAGTTTGTATTACTCTCATTTAACTGAAATAGGTACATTTATAGACGCAATTTTTTTGCCATAAGTTGATACTAACTTCACTTATTAGACACAAAATTAATAATAAAAGAATTGTGTTTCATATCATTGTACTATTTGTGTTAAAAAAATTCACATTCAAATTATTTATGCAGCACAATTTAAGAATACTTTTTCTTACCTACAACTTGCACTTTACATCCTGTTTCAATGTTATTAACAGATTGTTTCAAATCTTCTACTTGTTTAGCCAAATCACTCTCATAAAATATGAGATCTATCATGTGATTTGTTTTAATAATTTCTGCAGGTTGAATAGGCTTCAACATTAGTCTAACGTCTGTATTTTGTAGTATTGCCTGAAAAAAGAAATAAAATTACATTATGTACTTTATTTTACTACTCAATAAAATTAAAAAGTTAAACTGTTCATTTAATATGCAAATAGTAAGAATTCAGAAAAATAATTGTTTTTTCTGTCTTATAAAGCTGTACCCCACTTTAAGAATTTATCCTGTATAGTACAGGTGTTATAGAATAAGAAATTGTTGCACATGGCAAACATCCAGCCCCGAAACAAAGATTGTAGGCCATATAATATTAATATGTTTCGCATGTGAAATAAGCTTCTGGTCCATAGCGCTGCAGCTATTGTACTGGTGATGGTTATAAATAGAAAGGGGAAAAATTAAACATGTGGAAAGAATGAAAAAGGAAAGAGTGACAAAGCAAATTTAAGCTGCAGAAGTTAGTAGAAGAGTCAGCAAGAGAGGGGAGTGGATAACTTGTGATATATTTGCCAAATTATGTAACATAATTAAGTATATAAATGACAAAGAGGAGAGAGAGAAGAGTGTCAGAATTGTGTGGAATGGAAGTTGTGAATTAGAGTTTATGTACTTATTTCAGAATTTATGTATGAAAAATTTAACTTATAATAAAAGGTGTAAGCAGAGTTCAGAAATTTTTAAATAAAATAATTTCCACATAATAGCTTCTGAAGTCAGAGTTTTCTCTATGATACTATTATACCTTAGATTTTGACCTCTATACATAGACTAAGGAATATCACAAGTTCAGGGTAAAAACTAGAATATTATTTAGACATTTACATTGAAACACTATTTTTTTCACCTCTAGGTTTGAAAGAGCAATGGCAGACTTTCATACATAAAATTAGTTGAGAAGAAATGGTAGCGTCTATATATCAAAAATATCTTAAAATGTTAAGCGTCAGTCCCTTAATAAACCTGTCAAAGAATTTCGTACTGAGAAGGCGTCAAAAAAAAGATATTTACATTTGAACCTTTCTAGTTTATGTCCTATGTCACTTGGAAAAAGTCATGCTTCCTGTGGTTGTTTGATGTTAGGTTAATACGTAATACATAATTGAGAGTTTTTAGATTATTGTATCTCTATTATATATTTGCATACTATAAATGTATATTTCTGGCATGGCTCCAGGGCTTTTGTGTCATAGTGACATTCTCAGAAATGCTAGAACCCAGAGCAGTAAAGCCAGTAAAAAAAAAACAGTGCCATTTTATTCTAACTAGTGTTGGCATAACATTAAATGGAATTGTTACATAGTACTATGATTGAGATAATGCATTATTGTTGGAAATTCTTTATAAGAGACTTATTCTCAGCCATATCACTTTTATTTTTATTATTACTGATAGTACAGTTATTACTAATAATAACTTAATATAAAAATATTTTGTGTGTTGTGTTGGTAGTCTTACAAAGTATATACGAAAATAGTATGAATATACTAAATGGCAACATTTGAATAGAGTAAAATGATTTAAGTCATTTGATATTCCCAAAAATGTTTGTTTTTTTCTGTGGCTTTAATTAAAATACATTTTTATTTAAAAAATCATAGAAATATAGTAAAACTCATTTTATATATAACTTATTTCTAGACACTATAATTTTTGTCAACTATTTTTCTGCCATTGCTCTTTATTCTCTAAATCCTCCTGATACATCAAATTCATACACAATTGACAAAGATATCATGTAACATAAAATATACAAAATAAAATTGAGTGGAATTACGAATTCATTCAACATTATCAGTCTGAACCCACAGCTGGATATGGAGCCAATCTGACAATCATCAGCGTCATCATTAAAGCCCACATGTGAACATTGACTTCTCCTATAGATTGTGATATTTGCCATAGTTTCCACACTTGGCAAGCAGAGTTATTTCATATTTGATTTAATTATATTACAAAAATACATACCTAATACTGTATACACAATTCATAAGTACATCGCATAATAAACCTATATTAGATATATCATCATTAAGTTGTTATCAGGAAAATGCTGCTACTCATCTCCTGTATCAGTTTTGGTAGGGCCATGCTGCAGCTATATTAGTAGTAAAGTTGTAGCACAGATGGGTCGGCTCAACCCAGGAAGGACCACACTCTCACAGAATACCGGTGTAAAATAGCAGCTTAACACTGCTGTGTTTTGTGAGTGTAGAGAACCTGAGACCCTTTTTACTGAAAATGAGGTATTCCATCTTAGTCCTCACGGCTGACAACGCATCTGCATTTTGATTCGCAAACAAGGATAGATGTAGATGTCTATGGGCCACAGCAACCACTTACCATCAGGTGGACTGTGTGCTCGTTTGTCTCCCTAACCCTATAAAAAAAAAGTTACTCCCTCCCTTTAGTTCCTTTTTGTTTTTAGGGTTCGGTACCCAAAGGATAACAAATGGGACCCTATTACTAAGTCACTGCTGTACCTCCGTCTGTCTGTCAGTGGGCTGTATCTCGTGATCCGTAATAGGTAGATAGATGAAATTTTCACAGAATATGTATTTCTTTTGCTACAATAACAATAAATAATAAAACTTAAAATAAATTTAAAATTATAAGGGGCTCCCCTACTAGTAACATGTATTACAATTGTACAGAAGACTTCATGCGCATGTTCGATTTGCAATTGGCAGGTTATTTAATTCTGTGATTATTAAAAATACTTATGCATAGTAATTTTAAATGGAATACTTACATTATTGTAAACATTCACAATTTGTTTATTTAAAATTGGTAGTAAATTACCACAACTGTTGTTAATTTTAATGTATAACACATTTTTTACAAACTGATTCACTTTAGTAAATAGGCTATGAGCTTTAGCTGCGTTGGCAACGAAGAGAAGACCATTATTTGGCATTGTTTCGAAATCTGAAAGTATAAATATGTATGAATGTAAAGGCACACATTAAGATTGTTATTTTATAGTTTTAGGAGACCCACCTTGAATGTGTTTATTTCGCAACAAAAATGAAATTATAATTGATAACGATACGACTGTAAAGGATACTAAAAACACGGAATTACACATAATATTATAATACAATAAGAAACATACAATATTACGACGATTACAATGAAACTAAGCAAATTAATTTATTTGTTTGCAATAAAAACATAATGATTATAATACTAAATAAATATTCAATTACCAATTAAATAATACTTGATTATTTATTTAAAAATGTAAATATGTAAGCTAAAAGAAAATATGAGTATGTGTCGACATTATCACTTTATCATAGCTTCTATAATAAAAAAAATCATTACTTATGCTATGTAACAAAATTCTTTATCTTGAAAAGTTTTCAATTTCCATTTGATTTTGAATTGAACATTGAACACCATAGATAATATACTATATAGGGTATTGAACACAATGACAATTGACAACACAGATTCACAGACTAACTAGTAGATTCTACACGAATCAGACTGACATCTTACGAACTAAGGCCCGCCATATACATACGGAATTCCGTTTCGAGATTCCGTTTCGGAATTCCGAACGGTCGGCCACACACAAACGGAATCCCGTAAGGCCGGCCACATACATACGGAATTCCGTTTCAGGATTCCGTTTCGATATTCCGATTCGGAATCCCGAACGCAGCAAGTCCATATAAAATCTACGACTCGCCACACACGTACGGTAGTTTTCCGTTCGATATTTTGCGGGCAGAACGGGATTCCGTTTGTGTGTGGCCGACCGTTCGAAATTCCGAAACGGAATCTCGAAACGGAATTCCGTATGTATATGGCGGGCCTTATGCCCGCAAAATATCGAACGGAAAACTACCGTACGTGTACGTACCGATCCAAACGCACGTCTTCCATAGATTTTGTACGAGTCCCAACACACATACGTAAATTCCGTACGGAATGCGCTCAGTGTTCGTCGCACGACCGAAGCGAGTAGGTGTATTTATGTATGTTTTTAAATTTAATCTTGTAGGTGTATAACTTTTCGTAACCTTTCATCTTATTTTATTTAATAATTCCTCGATAGAATTTACATACATAAATATTTAAAAAAATATCTCTGGATAGATAGATCTTTTTACATAGTATTGACTATATTGCAAGCTTAGGGTGATAAGGGGATGCACTTAGTAAGAATGATACAGCAACAATGGAATTTGCAATTAGAAAATCGTCGTCATTATTCGCTGGCAGAATGTCTAGACTCAATGGCTAACGTCTCTCAACTGACCCTTGTTATTCCGAACGGAAAAAAAACGTGTGTGTGTGATGTATTCACGGAATCCCGATTCGGGAGTCCGAAACGGAATCACGAAACGGAATTCCGTATGTATATGGCGGGCCTAAACTTACCTACTCGACTTAGTTTCTTCATCCTGATTGGTTGTAGCAAAATGACATATGACATTTCTTTTTTTTTAATTTGAAGGAGCTGTATCAGGCAAAGGACGTCCCAAATAAGCTTACTTATTAATTACTTGCAAAATTTATTTTAAAATATTGAAAATAAGGTAAATAAAAATGAAACAATAATGAAATTTAATATTTTTTTATTAGTTATTAATTTTTACTTTACAATAATTTTGTTTACAAATTTAATAATTTATTAATATATACAATATTAAAAATTATATATTTAAAAAAACAAATTAATTACTTAATTATCATACAGTCCTCATTTTAACGTTACAATAATTTTGTTCACAAATTTAATAATTTATTAATATATACAATATTAAAAAATTATAATCTAAACAGATCTCTACAGCACTTAAGTTTTTATATTACATAGCTTCATATTGACTTGGAATGTGCTGTGCCCCGCATCCTTACCTGAAACACAATCATTTACAGCCTTAATAAAAGTATTTTGCTCCATTTGTTCACAATCATGTTTTGTTCCATATTGGTAAAAATTGTATGTAACTACATAAAAATTAAAAATTGTATGTAGTTATTAAGCTTTGGCAGCTGACAACGGCTGATCAAAACTATTTTCCTGTAGAAATGAGTATGTATTGTCTGAAATCAAAAAATTATACCATCAAAAACATAACTTGTAAAAAAACCAAGTCTCGCAGCTCAGTTCTTCTACCGTAAAAAGTTGAGAGATCCATGTAATACCAAGTCGGTTAATCTATTCAGTACCTACTTAAGGGTCCTTCTGTCTTAAGTTATTACGTAGTTAGCTAACCTAACAACATCTTATAGTAACCACATCAATACTAAAAATCTTTTTACATTTTCAATAAATAGATTGACTTGGCAATCGCATGAAAACACAATCTATGTCTCAAGTAATACATATTATATTAACCGATTCGTTGCGGCACCAATTTTCGACAACTTTTAGCTGTGGCGGCGAACAAATATTACACGAAACACTTGGCGTGTCATGCGCCACAGACTTATGACACGCCTATTGTGCCGTCAGCCATGTGTAAAAGTAATGTTCTTTTTTTATGGCTTTTTTTACTTGTTTAGACCTAATTAAGTTTATTTGACATCAAACATCAGTTACAAACGGAAGGATACTTGTTTTTAGTGGGTAACTACGTGTTTTTCTATATGTTTTCTTTGAAATCGAGAGTGACTTTTTTAATGCAGAGATTAAAAATCTTTTGTAGGTACTATTTTTTTGTTTTATAAAAAAATCATTTATATAAGTAGGTACAGCTAAATCACCCTGGAAAACCTTGGTCCTTATTAAATTAAATTTTCACCTAATAATAACATTTGTAAATATGAAACAATCAAGATCCTAAATGTGAAAAAAAAAATAAGGTTCATGATTCATTGATATTTACAAATGTTAAATATTATTTAATGTTATAGAAATGTAAAAGTAAAGTCGATCTGAAAACGTCTAATTAGTAAGAATAGCAAAACAAGTTTTTCAAAAGGAAACAAACGCCGGCGCTATACGGCGGCGGATTGACAAAAGACTATTTATTAGCGAACTTTTTTTATGCATGAACGGTTTCAAACTGTTTCAAGCAAAAATAAACCTTATACCACATCACAAGAGCACATGGTACTTCGTAGGTCTATTCGGTCATATGATAGTAATAAGACGGCAGTTCAACCATTTTAAGCAAAATTAAACAATAAGATAAACGCATTGTTTTTTTTTTAACAGGAGACTTGTTTTCCAGAAATTTATTTACAACCTGAGTTTGTGAGCGATCGCAATGAGTGCTATTATTTATTACTTATTAGACTATTTTCCAACAACATGATTGAAAACCCACAAAGTAAAAAGAGCAATTTGAGCGAGTTATAACGATTTTTGAAAAGACACGACTCGTGTGTCATACTCCACACACAAAATTAACCGATAGCACGCCTGGCGTGCCATTCGCACTGAACCGGTTAAACATAGGTATTTAGTGCGATTGCCAAGTCAATTCATTTATTTAAAACATTAAAAAAAATTAATATTGATATGGTCACTATAACATGTTGTTAGGTTAGCTAACTACGTAATAACTTAATGCTTCCTCTACACTACTCGCGAAGTAACTTCGACGAAGTGCTCGTCGAAGTCGATCGCAGTCCGAAGAACGTGTCCACACACTCGTGCTACTTCGTGAAGAGCTCAGTCGTCTTGAGTCTCCCGCACCGTTAACATGAATGACGTTCAAGAGGCAGCTGCTTTATGTACCTAATTGTGTGAACAGTACGACGTCAATGCGTTAACTAAATAAATAATTATGTAGAAAGCTATATATTTAATATTTATATATTAAAAAAATATTTATAACTGACGTAAGCCGAGTAGTGTAGTGAGACGCTTCGTGTAACTTCGATGTACTTCGCGAAGCCCTTTGACTCTGGCGCAAAAAACCGACAGCGATCGGAAGTCGCCCGAGGCGAAGCGAGGTTGGACGAAGTGAATCGAAGTACCTCTCTACACTATTCGCCTCGTCCAACTTCGATCTACTTCGCGAGTAGTGTAGAGGAGGCATTAGATAGAAGGAACCTTAAGTAGGGACTGAATAAATTAACCGACTTGGTATTACATGGATCTCTCAACTTTTTACGGTAGAAGAACTGAGTTGCGAGACTTGGTTTTTTTACAAGTTATGTTTTTGATGGTATCTTTTCTTTTTGTAGATAGTTATATATACATAACCTATCTACACCTATTATTCCATTATATTATACATATATAGGTACACTGATTCATTCACTGCAAATGTAACTTTGCAATCCTATATATTTATATGGGATTACAAGTTATTTATGCAGTTAATGTATCTTGAAAACTGGACTGAAATTGTAAAATATTTTAATTTTTTTTTTTGATTTATATACTACACAATAATTGTATTCCAAATTTGAAGCTTCTACGTCTGCTAGAAGTGCCTTAGAGTTTTGATGATCCGTCAGTCACTGAGTGACAAAATTAAGAAACTTTGACTAGTTATAATTCTTAAACTACTGGTTCAAATTTAATGAAATTTGAAATATACTGAGTTTATACAATTCCTGATTGGTTACTTAAAATTCAGGCTTCTAGTTTTATTCACAACGAAGTTATAGGGTTCCGAATATGGCCTGAACTGCTTCGAGGAAAGGATGATACGGCCGTGCTCCCAGATTACTATTATAACTGTCTTATATATTTATTGATCTTTTTATTGTAACTATTATATTTTTATTTACATAATTTAATAAAATTTCTTATTAATATAAACAATAAAATACAATATTTAATAGAAGTAAGAGGGTTTTATGAAGTAACCAAAATAACTTTATATTAACTTTTTTATAAAAACAAGTCCAATTTATTTTATTATTATATAAACATTCTAAACAGATTTAGAAAAGTCATTATCATACTCATGTTTATTAAATCTAAGTGGTAGGACTTCTTTTGCTGTCTAAGACTGCTCTAACCTATTTCTGCTGCCAAATAGCAATGCATGCTGTGGTGAAGGGCCATTTCATCTTAGTCCCCAGTGATCAATGCAACACATATGTAGCCTACTTTATTTGATGGTAGATGCAATGGATCACAAATTGCATTAGCCACTTACCACCATGTGAACTGTAAGTTCATTGATTACTTATATACTTGATAGCCGACGTATCATAACGCTATGCGCTAAGACGCCGCCCACAACCGGTAGGGGTGTGCGATGTCCACGGGCAAGTCGTATTGCTACAACAAACCCGCTTACCACCGGCACTAAGATGATATGTCTAGGACACATCGGTTAGTGAGTCCAAGTTTACCTCGGTCTCAGAGGCTGCGAAGCAACCTACACGCCACTATAATAATCCTTTTCAAGTCCCATTTCACTTTGATTTTATAAAAAATATGTTGATTTGAAATAATTCATTATGAACCG